AGCCTCGTTTATTATGTATAATTTCGAGTAATTAATAAAGTTAGAGGGTCCGATACTTTTGTCCGGGTAGTGTATATTACCATACTTGCTCATGCAGCATTTACCACAATATTAGGTCAAACGCTTCCACCAACTTTGGGCAAAACAGTCAGATCGCATAGAACATACTGCTTTCGTTTCTAAAGAGAAATTCTGACATGCTTGCTTTAAAAGTTGGGAAGAGAAAAACGACTACTTTTTAGATCCAATTTATCCTAATTAGCTTCAACAATATGTTGTCACTTGTTATTCCTGTGAATTGCAGTAAATACTCATTTATTTTGAACAAATACAAAGTAAACAGAAACGTGATTTCGATAAAAATAATGACAAATTTTGATCTCATGACCAATGTCCATCTATCTATAATCCCCACAAACAAGCTGCCAAAATGGTTTGGCTATAGGCAGGGTCGACTGTACAGTACATCGACCGTTTACAGTATGTAATTCGAGCAATTTTATGAGCATGACTTCGTTTTTTCTGATTGAACAATTATCAATAATAGACAAGGTTTCGATTGTATGCTAAATATTAGTATTAATTTAGACGTGTTAGTATTAGTGTCTATTATGCAATTAACGATCGAAAATCGAACCATTACCAAAAGTTTTCTTAGACACTTTGCTTAGAAGAATTACCAATTAAGTAAATATTATGTAGTAAGTTTTGTAAAGATTGGCAGTTCCAATTTACGGATAGAGATTTTATAGAGCAGACGTTAAAATAAAAAAAATTTTTTATTCATTTAATTTTTTTTTCATATTAATCATAATACTTACATCCTACATCGACAAATTCATGATAGTGTAAAATAAGAATGCCACAATGCGAACGAAATTATCGTTAGCAAAATTGCGAATGAGAAAAAAAAAACTTTTAAGAATTATATCGGATACTACCAGTGTCCGACTCATATTAACATCTAAACTAAGTATAAGTATTAAAAACTGTTAAAGGCAAAAAGACAATAATTATTTTTTTGATTTTCAAAAAAAGAAACACATCAGACCAGATGCTTTGGGTTTATTATTATTGTCCCCGCCGCTATGTCACTTATTGTCGAAAATGCTCACATCAAGATAATTATGCTAGTCGTTTGCGCTTATATTCGTATGATTACAGTGAACAGTCACACCCTTTTGGCAGCCCATTTGTGGTGATTATAGACAATGGCACACGTGATTTTTCGCATGTTATTTATTTATCATTCTCCCTTAATGTCATCTGTTATGTCAAAAACAGAACAGACACAATGCCTTTTTTTGTCTCCAGAGATATTGCTTATGCTGTGCGCTTGGAAGTATTAGTTTTTTGGCAAATTTTTTGTGAACTTGTAGGAGTAATTGACAATTTTACTTTAGAAGCGCGTTTTATTTAAAAATTTGAGACGCGCGTATTATTCTTTATAAATTAAATAAAACACGCGATCAGATGTGACTATAGACAGGGTCATTATTTACAGTAAACCCTCCGGAAATGCAACGCTTTGGGACCGAGTGCTATGTTACATTTATGGGGGGGTTTTGCATTTGCATTTATTATTGTTGTACCTCAGTTGGGGACCTGTCTCAGTTCTAGACTGAGACAACTGAGTTCTGGACTGAGTGACTGGGTTCCGAACTGAGACAGGTCCCCAACTCAGACACAACACCTCATTACTCACTATTTGGGTTACTATCATCGTCTGCCTCTTCATCGTGTCATTTTCAGAAGCCAAAAACGATTTCTTCCTCTAGAAAAGATAAATACTCGTTTGTTGTCATTGCATCAGAAAAATTCAATCTCACGATGGATATAATGTGCGCGAATTGTGACGTTTGAAACTTGATATTGTAATGAAATAGATTTGTGTACTTTACCGTTTCACTGTATATCTTGATCTGTGATTTTGGTGATAGATTGTGATTATAGGCAAGATTATTTTCATATGAAATGGTTTTAGCACAAACTATTTATGGCCATAGTAATAGGCAGGTAGTGACTATAAACGGAGGGACCATAGACAGTGGTTCATAACGGGTAATAATTATAAATATTATTTATCTCTAGCAAATCTAATAACAAATATTGATCTACAGAGTAATAAATGCTACCAATGATCAACACTACAAAATTAATCTAGACCTTAAGGCTCTCTTTGTCCATAGAAGCAAACGTCGAGCTACTGAAGCTAAATTACCTCAGAAATCACGAGACATTAAAGAATTGTCCGTAATCTGTTACTGTACACAGCAAATTAATATACTGATGTGACAATGAATAATGGAGTGTCTCACTTACTCAAAACGCAGCATATTCTGGTAAAAAGGAATTGGAGCAACAAATTATGATTACAGTTTATTTGTTATAAAAAGGCAATACGTTTACCGAAAGTTAAACATTTAAATTGCATTTTGCTAGGTAAATTTGAAAGAGATATATACATGTAGTTCAATATAAGTCTATACGAATGTTCTCATAGTCTCAATGGTTTTAATGGTGGCCAATTGATTATTATTGCGATCATATAATTACAAACATTTTGAAAGACATATTCTATAATCATACTGTAAAGTGGTATGAACCGCTATTGATTGACATTTGTTCGTTAGCACGGTATGAACCACTATGGATTGACATTTGTTCGTTAATATTATGAATAATGTTCATATATTTCCTTGCTCTTTTGTTTCCCGGTTCACTTTGGAGAACTATTGTAAAATCAGCAAGAGCCAGTTCATATTGTCCCAACATAAAATAGCAACCACCCCGTAAATCCAGATAAAGACTTCTCGGATCTAACCTTACAGCCATATTTGCATCAGCTAAAGCCAAGTCGTACCTTTTCTGGTGGCAATAAATGTTACCTCTCTTGTAATATAAGGATGCTGTTCGACTAGAAACGATTATGGCATTTGTCAAGTGTTTTATGGCACCCTCATAATCTTTGCTCTCTTCAAGTATAGAGCCCATCGCACATAACGCAACGGCTTCTAAAGGATGAATGTCCAATGCTTTCTTAGCATCCTTATATGCAAGGTCATATTGACGTAAGCGAAAATAAATCTCAGCTCGCCAGCCTAATGTTTTCGGATTATCAGGATCCCTGCTTATAGATTTGCTGAACCATTGTACAGCTGCGGAATATTCTTTCATACGACTGCAAAGTTCCCCCCTCCTCATTAGTACGTAAGCATTGCCTGGGTCGAGCTCTAATGCTCTATCGAAATCGCTTATTGCCTTCGTGAACGACTTCATACACGCATAAATGTCACCTCGCATGCCAATAGCCAATGCGTTTTTCGGGTCGAGGTAGAGTGCTTTATTTATTTCCCTCAATGCTTCTTCATGTGCAAGGAACGTTCGATAAACTCTCCCCTTGAGTAATATGGCCTCCAAATCCCTTTCGTTAATTTGTTCGCACCTATTCAAATCTGCTATTGCTCGTTGCATGTTCGATAAACCATGGTATACCTGAGCTCTAAGCTTAATGGCCGAAGTGTCATTGGGCGCACGACACAGATAAATGTTCACATCGTTAAGTGCCTCTTTATAACTGTAACGAGCGTAATAACAAACAGCTCGAGCGAATAATGCCTCTTGATTAGTTGGGTCAAGGTCTAAAGCCCAACCTAAAGAAAAAAGTACTTGATCTGTCATTTTGAGAATACGGCAGACTTGACTACGCAAAATCCATGCATCGATAGAGTTAGGTTGAATTTCAACAATGATGTCGAGGTCTTGCTTTGCTGCGCTGTAGTTTTGTAAATTGATATATGCTTGTGCTCGAAAGAAAAGTTCCGAATAACTCCTTGGACACTTTTTGAGATGCTCACTGAGATATTTTACGGCTTTGGTGTAATTGCCATTGTTGTAAGCTTCTATTCCTCGAAGTTTTAATTTCCCACTGCTACTTTTTCTGAACCGGAATATGAACGACATTGTGCAAATTATATGGTGTATAAAACTAAGAAGAACGAGTAGTAGGGTCGTTGAGAAAAAAGTTCGGACCCTGTGTTGTTACCTAGGTTATTTATCATGTGAGTTTCCAATTCTGAACGGATTGTCGGAATTGACCAGTGATGCCAGATTGTCCAATGTGGTGTAACTTCGATTAGACAATATTCTGCAGTTCCCTACCACTGTTAATGTATTAATCTTATTGGTTCAGTTCATATGTAAGATAGCACAACATGCAATAATTCAGACGCTTTTTCCCGACACTTTTATAGTCGTACAACATACTCAAGTGGACTAATTTGGACTAGTGTATAAAGTGTCGTCGGAATTATTGACTATAACGAAGCTAATTTGGCTTAATTCGGACCAAGTTTTAGACTCATTCGAGAAGACTCATTGGCTTGTCTTTCTCGGCGATAAAAGCAAATTAGGCGTATTCAATAATGTAAGACTTTATGAGATAAGACAGCATTCAACAAACAACCGACATGCAAGATATGGTCTGTGTAACAGTTAGAAAGGAAATCATTGACCAAGTAAAGAGATATCTCAATGGTCGTTAATCGGCGCTATTGCTGTACTGACCCCTGATACTTTTATATATGTGCGTAGTACAGTAACCTAACCAAAGTTGGGAAACAATGACTTACAATTACTGGATGTAGTCTCATTCAGAATTGCTATTAGGCACAGCCATGCCCCAGCTCTATAGTCGTAAGGGTTTTACTACAAACGTTTTTCTTTCCACAACCAATTGATTCGAAGGAGAGATGTTTTAAAGACACATAAATTTACAGGTTATTGATATATTTTCATGTCCCTGCAGGCATGAACAAAAATTCGATAAATGTTACACTAATGCAACATAGCGCTAAAACGGTAAAGCATCTAGTTATCATTAGTATCTGAATTAATATATAACTGTTCTTAATAAATACGTATATATTTATATAATTTAAGAAAATCTTGTTGTAAAACAAGTATTATAGACATTTCCATATAGACACGCTATCGGCCATAGACACTTTACCTAAATTGTTCCAATAAAGAGGTTATGAAACATGGAAGTGTTGCTCCTGAGTTGGACATCGTGCTTATAGAAGGGAGGTGGCGAATAACTGTATACAGCATCTTCTCAAACAATCTCCTTATCCCCTATTATTTGCTACTACCACAAATAATAAAGTCTGGCAGAAAGGCGATTAAAATTCTAGTTGGAATCAATCGAATGTCGTTTCTGTCATTTTAAACGCAGAGCTTAATCTTGCTCAAAAATGTATTTACACAATCTGCAGTTGTTCTCCATAAAGTACTTGGGTTTGTACTTGGTACCAATTTTAGTTAATAAAATATGCCCGTGTATATTTATTGCCTTGCTCTTCATCCAAAACCATCTACGGTGCTATTGGGGCTTATTTTTATAATCTATACGTCTAGACAACAGGTGTATGATTGATGTATTGTATTTATTGGCAGATTATCTTTTGATGTAAACATCTAAAATAAGCGGTTTAACTCTGTTTATATCGACTTTCAATAGACTTTCTATATATGTTGGGGCACGAATTTATCAGCGCTTGCACAGTCTGTCGGCTGGCCAACTTATCAAGATGCACGTGATTTAGTGATATTATTGAAAATAAACATGAGACTATTTGAATCTTTCATCCCTAACTACACAGAACTACTTACACTTAAATCATTCAATTGCTGTAAATAGTTCAATAAATTAAAGCTATCCAATAAACGTTTACCTCGTTTTAATGGTAGTACTTTAGTTTTAAGATTCTGATATCATTAGCGATTTGATATATATTTATGTTGTGTTACGTATTACTGAAAGTACTAGTAAGTTATATCATGCATTATAAAGCTGTAGTTTGAAAAGTAATAGTTGCTGTACCTCAGTTGGGGACCTGTCTCAGTTCTGGACTGAGTGCCTGGGTTCGGAACTGAGACAACTGAGTTCTGGACTGAGTGACTGAGTGACAGGTCCCGAGCTCAAACATAAGTTATATAAAACATATTGTAACCCGGTATTAATAATGCATCGTTATTTTCTTCGAATAACACAGTCAATTAGTTTTCAGACCATATAAAAATTAGTCACTGCAGGACAAGAAAAAAAAGATTTTCATATGATTTACTGGTAATTTTAGAAAAGTTCCATGACCCGTGTCAGGGAAGTGTACAATATCATCTTTATATTTATCGATTATTAGGGATTAACAGTTATATTGAGCGGGCTGGTTACCATCCCTAAAAAAGATATCAACGCATTGAAACCACTTAAAAGAGAGAACAAATTTCCGACATTCTGGCGGTTTACTGACAGCAATACTTACTGTGCTATTATTATAACGATATGTCAGGCTACACATCAGGAATTAAACGCAAATGGCATCAGGGGTTTTTACTTTTTAAATAGTCTGTTCCTAACTATAACCTCAATAGCACAAACTAATAACTACCGTGCATCTGCTTCGTCTTTCAAACTGCATTATGCTACAAAAAATCTACATCCAATTGTTATTATACCTCCAGTCAAAACCATGCTTTAGCAAACAAAAAGTTATCATTATATTTTAGATGGCGAACCGATGGCAAGAAACACGAATAATTCAACACTGTGTTAAGCCTAATCACCAAATGTTACTTTGCGTTTTTGTCTATTCGTTTTTAGATTAACGGCGAAATTCTACAGGGGGTATCAAAAGTATTGCACGGTCGAAATGTAGGCAATTAATAAAACTGTTAATACACAAGCGGACATAAGTATCCGAACGGTTGTATTACCTAAACGTACATAATAATAACCCTTTAAATTTTCCAGG